GGTACATTGTTATGAAATATGAGTACATAAAGAAACCTTTTCACACACATAAATGCTTAAAAATTATTTGGAACTTTACTTTATTATTGAAAGTCCACAGAAGCCAAATTGTATTAAAAATCAATTCTTTTAATTTATCTAAAATGGCCTCTATTCACTGAAAGGGGGTACAGTACGTAAATACACTTTAATGAATCAATAGGCAATTCATTCATCAATTTGTGCTTAAAAGCATTTTTATTGCCAAAATTAGTAAAACAAGAGAATTGATTAATAACAATTTTTCTGTAGCAGTTGAACCGAAACATCAAAACTCAAATAAAATATAAAGAAAAATTCCAACAAATTTATATTTTCATCTGCTTCTGCTTCTATTTCTGCATGTGTGCGTGTAAAGTATCTGTGTGAGCAGTTTGAGGTTGAGAAACAAAACACATTCATAAAAATTATGAGTATTTTTCTGTTGCTTCTGTTGTTTGTTATATGTTTTATTTGATGTATGTATGTATGTGTGTATGTATATGCATATGTATGTACTAACTACCTACATATAGAAAGTGCGTGGCTTGGTATTTATGGTATGCTAATATAAAAAGTTGTAAACATTAAATAAATATAAACATAAGAACACAAATAATGATATAGTGTATCCTGTGGGGAATGATTTACAAGTGAGCTGTGCTGTACTTTAGGTCAAGGAGACTCTGCTGTCATTACCAGAAAGGACTATATTCAATGAATTTTTAAACGAAAAAGAGATTAATAAATCTTGTATAGAATGTGAATAATCGATTTATTTTATATAAATATAAACTGTATATGCAAACTGTAAATGCAATTTAGTTTTCGAAAAGTTAGGCTTTGAGGAAAGACTTTAGTAAAGGTAATAAGTATTTTGTAGGTTTTAATGCGAAAAACTATGTATTTGTAAATGGAAGGAAGCATTGTCATGTACCATAGAGACATTATTGAAAATTTGGGAAGATACACATTTTGGTGAGGTTTAATTGAGTTTGAAATATAAATTATATGTAAACTGCTTCTATATTTTTTTATTGACATATTCCTATTGGTTGACATATAGGATGCTTTTTAGAGACTAGACATTTTACTGAAAGGAAGTTTTTGCAATTGGTTGACATATAGACTGCTAATGGCAAACTATCGGATTATTGGACTCCAATTCAAGCTCTAATATCAGGTTCTAATATCAAGTTCTAACATCAGGTTCTAATATAAGGCATCATAAAGGCTAGGTTAGCCGGTACGTACGATAAGAATTTAAGCCAACTTAAGCCATTTGATTATAACGAAATAAGCAAAGTCTTCCGCTATTGTTTATATTGTTCCTATCAAATACACAGGTGTGGTTGGTTGTGTATTTCACTTTGATTGAAGTCTTTATGGTACTTATCGATTAACAGAGCCTTAACGTTGTAGATAGTCGACAAAACCAGAAATAAGAACTTTGAGAAACGACACAAGATCTCTATTACCGGGTTCTTGGAGCACAGTACAAAAAAGAAAATGCTGCTAAAAACATTTTTTGTTAAACGAAATAGTTTGACAGAACCGGTGCACACCCCACTGAATGTGCCTAAAAAAACACTGAACACTAGGTATTTTTAAAGGTGGTTTGTGCTGCGGTATGTAGGACAAATATGAAATTATGACTAAGAAACCACCTAATTCCTGCTGATAGAAATATTGACTGATGGCAGTTATTACTGGCTTTTTTCCTATCAAAACTACTCATTAGTTTCCGTTTCTTAATATCCCAATATACGGACATCGTTGAAGATTATATTGAAGACAAGATATAACATATATCAATATATCAAATAGATATTAATACTAGACTTTGCAGATCAGGTGGCTTAAATGTAAATAACTTATATAGGAATCCGAAACATTTGCTAATAATATAGACCGAGTATCTGAATATGATTTTCAATAGTAAATCAAATGAAATTAGTTTTATTAAAAGCTTGTAGTCATACATGGATATGAAGTCCCATTATGTAAATTGAGTGACTTCAGGTGATTAAAAGAAATTGGTCACAGTTAGCACCTTAGCATCTTCCTTTGGGAACGTCTCATTTTGTGACACTTGAAAAACCTGGTAGTCTACATTTTAATGTAAAATGCTTTTTTTATTTAAAGTAAAGTAGAATGGATATCGACACATCCGTCCTGCGTCACGTGAATTTTTCTAAGCAGAGCAGAAGATAATTGATTTTAATAGGTTAGGATAATAATTGCCTTTGATAATGGCAAGATATTCGAAGACCATGCCAAAAAGTGCTCGTCATTTGCTAATCCAAACTGAGTCCAAATGAGAAGCCTCAAAGATAAGTATTTGAATTAGAAGGATGAACATAATAAATATGAAGAGTATGTATTCTTTGTGTAGAAGAGAAAGTTGTCGGGAAGGTTGGCAGATTCCGACACAGACTAAGCTCAAATATTATATATCCTGTTTCACCGTCTCATATTTTCTCAGAAATTCAATTGATAACTTAAGGTAGAAAAGATTAAACAACATTAGAATGTCTTTAAGAGAATTCCTTACATTGATGTGCTTGATGAAGCCTTCCACAAAAAGAACCAAAATATAGAAAAGAAAAGATATTGAGATTTGTGAAAATATGTCGCCCAATGTTACTTATGTTTTGTTTTCAAATAACGTCACGAGGTGTTGAAACACTAATTGAATAAATTTTGCTAGAGAATCTCTATTTCCATTGAATTCTCTTTATCAAATTATATAAAAATAAAACTTTATGTACCTCTTTCAATTCAATATATATAAAATCGTCAATATATCAATACCAGTTACTAATGATATTGAGCAATTGAATTCTAATAGATGTTGCGTAGGGCACTTAATGCATACACGCATATACTACAAAACGCACATATTATTGATGTACATATGTAGCATATATGTGCTACATAAATGTACTTTCAAGAAAATCCACGTTAAGAAAAGAAATTTATTTTAGCCTTTAGTTTAGTGTGGTTATTCTTTCATTGCTGTTTTTGCTATTTTCCAACGAAATTGATGAAAAATGTTATTAACGCTTCAGTGAATAACTCAGTCACTGGATTAGAAATGGGATGTGTGGGTGAAAACACGTATGAATACTAGCTAGACAGGGCGAAACGCAGGAGTAGCTTGGCTGGTTTTAGAAAGATATAAAAATTTCAAGAAGAAAAATCTGTACGTGTGAACGAATGTGCTCGTCTATGCTGACTTGTGTGTATTAGCAGCATCTGATTGCGCAGATTTAGTTAAACTTGCGTTGATTTGAAAATGTGTTGAAGCATAGAATGAGCCTTGTAATTCCTTTAAATAATTTATTTAGTTTATTTTCTGGTAAAAATAAGTATATAGTTGTGCATAAAAATAGATAAAGGCATTGAGAAATAATTTTAAAGTTTCTATGTGGTTAGGAATATTTAGAAGTTAGATTGAACGAAGTAGTGAATGGATAATCATAAAATCGAAATACCAGAGTTTTAAGTATTATAAAATTTAATGAAGAAAAACACTTCAGAAATTAAAAAACAAATTAGAAAAAACAATACTTTAAATTAGCTACTAAAATAATTAAGCGCAGCACTGAAAACGACGTCATTAGGGGGTGGGACTGATTATTTTTGTATATACTTACTTTTAAAATGTAATATAGTTGGAATATAAAACACTCCAAATACTTAGTGAATTTCGATTTGATTTATAACCATGACAATGTTAGGATTAGTTAGGAAATGAATGAATAATCCTATAAGGGTTTCGCAAATCCATTATATACCTACAGAAGTCCTAACGGATTACTATGTTATAATGTCGATACTTTAACGGTGTGGTATTCCATTAATCATTTTCTATATTTTTATTCGGGATTATGAGTTTACTAAAGTGCAACCAGGACGCTGCAATATTGCAATTATTTCATAAAAATACTATATTCCGACGAGAAGCGGAAGTCCACTTTATTAATCACTAAAGTATTTCGTCTATTACTTCTTCTATTTTTGTTTAGGAATAGATTTAGAGTGACTTCTGCATTTTAGCGATTGTTTCTTAGCAGATAACACATGGGCTTAATATTAAGCCATGGTATAGTAAGGACAGCATATAGAGTAATATCAGAAGTAGTGGTTACTATATTTCGCCTCCTCCTTGTTACTTGAGTATTGCAATGAGAAGAGAAGGTCTCCGTTTGGAACTGTCAAACTTTTGTATTATCACACGACTTTCTTAGTGGACTCACAAACGAAAATACTGCTAAACTAAATAAACATAAGTAGTCACACATTATAGTAGCGAACAGTCAAAGTACAAACTTATAAGACTTGATACAATGAGTGAATAGAAAACAGCCAAAGTGTCAGTTAGTAGCATTATAAAAATAGGCACAAATAGAAAATATAAACAGGTCAAAGTGTGAACTAGCAGCATTCAAAAATAAAGCTGAAGAAGAAGAAGTTGAATGAAGAAAATAAAAAAAAAACCAAAGTATCAGCTGGTGGTACTCAAAAAAAATTAAAATTTTATATCAAAAAAGTGCCAGCTAATAGCACCGGAAACGATGCTACACAAAAACGCTTCTATAGAAAACTTTTGTATAAAACTTTTAAATATTTACTTAAAATAAATCATTTGTAAAACTGTTCTAAAAAACTTGTCTGATAATATTACAAGCTTAATCATCAAGGAATAGTATATGTTTGTCCTTCTCTTATTATAATCAATAAGTAGACTTTAATATACTGGATAGTGATTTGCTTCACAGAAATGCTTGAAAATAGTTTTATTGCTTTTATTGCTTTTATATATAACTTATAAATACTGTTAGTAAAACTACATTTTCTTTAATATTCTAATAAGATATTAATTCATTGCACCAAGTAAATTCAATTAAGTTTGTCCAAAGATGTCCCAGTTTTGCTATTGTATCCTTAAAGCAATTTTAGTAATTTTTCTGACTTACCGTACGGACCCAATTGTGCGGCTACACGTACACGTTCTATAACCACAGGCGGATCACTGCGTCCTTTTGCATTGACAGCATAAACTAAAAATTGATACTCTCGTCCCGGTTCAAGATTATTTAAACGAAATTGCGGATTTGGTTCTTGCATGCGAAATATTGGAGCTGAGGTTGCCTAAAAATATGCAAGAGGAAAAAATGTAATTTTAAATAAGCAATTTGAAGAAGGCAAATACTAGGTATGAATCTAGAACTTTATTAGCCGAGAAAGTGCATTCAAGCATTTAAAGATGACAAAAGAAAATCTATTAAATTATAGGTATTCGTTTTTCTTATTTCGTTTTTCTTTATTTTTGCTATTATAAATTCTATTAAAAATGAAATCATCTATTATGACTTCTTCACATTTTTTATGAGTGGATGTGTGGACTGTCTGTCTTTGTACATGTGCTGTGCCGAATTCAATTCGAGTAAGTTATGCTAATAATTATTCATGCCTGAAAATTCTATTAAAAACTTTGCTTCATGCTGCTACCAATTATTGTCTTCCTTTTGCCATTTTCATATTTTTTGTTGGTGCTTCTTGTTTATTATTGTTTCGAGAGATTTTGTATAAATGGTCATATAATCAAAAGACAACAAACTTTAAGCATACATATTACTTTTAATCCTTGCATATCCTTGTAGTTCAACATGCAACGGAGCACACAAGCATACTTTGAAAGATGTTTTATTTGCTACGCACAAATTCCTACTCAAGTAAGCAGAAATAATTTATATCCTTTCGGCGATTTATGTTATTGTCCTTTTTTTAGGATATTCGTGTGTGTTTACTTGTGTTGTTCTGTTGTTTAGCATTGTTCAGTGTTCAGTGTTTAGTGTTCAGTGTTCATTGTCCATTCTGCACTCGGACAGGATTGCCGATGAGTGCGTTGTGTCAGCTCATGCGAAAGTTAAACTATGAAACTAATACACTGTGAAAAATATTTTAAAATTATTTTGAAAATTTTATATGACATTTTGTTAAATTGTTGGCCAACAAAAATATTTTATTTATTAAGTGAACTTGTTATGCTGAAAAGCGATTTCAACTCAGAAGCGTACGCAACTCGGAAAGGAAGTTGGCAATAAAAAGGGTTAAAATATATGTTCTGTGTCGACAACATACATATGTCGAAACTTATAACAGCAATTAAGTTGCTCTTTTTATGACCTAAAAGCAATTTACTTCAAAGTTCCCACTACTGTCATTTGTAGATATCGAGCATATCAATAATTGAGGCAGAAAAGTCAAATGACTGAGCAAACAATAATTGACTAGTTCAGTTACAAATCGTATATAATTCATATGTGCACGGGCCTGGAAATGCTCTCAAGTGTGGCAAATTTTAAAATAAGCTTAAAAGCATAAAACTTATGCCGAAAACACTTTGAAATATTTATGAGCTTCTAGGAAGGACATTATGAAGAAGCGAATAAGAAGCAACAAACTTTGTGTACATTATGTGTCAAAAAAATATTCAAATTGTTTTGATTTGGGTTATTTTTTTATTTTTTTTCTTACTTTTTTGTAATCAATAAGTTTATCTTACTTACCTGATCATTCAAAGTAGAAATTTCGTTGTCGCCAAGCACATTGTCGGCAAAGTTACGCGTCGAGTCGCTGCTGTACAATGGATCACCGCCAATAACTTCGAGTAGAAAATATTGTGATAGTCCACCATCGCTGCCTGCTATGCACACTACTTCTAGAACTGTGTCGTTACGTATTTCACAGGCCTTGGGTGCCTCGGGTGGATCTATAAATTATAGAAATGAAATGTTTAGTTGATCTAGGCTTTTATTTATAAAGTTGTTTCATGATTGTAAATGGTTTTTCATAATGATTTATAGAAAGTTCTATATTTCTATATTTAATTTAATTGTATTTTCAATATATAACCAGTATCAGAGTAAACTATTACTGTACAAGAAACTAGAGACACTGCTGCTACAAATTGTAGAAAGGATTGTGGTTTTGAACTCAGTCCAAGCATTATGAAGAGCAAAACATCTTCCTTGCATATCTGACGCGTCGATATATTTATGCAATGTATGTATCAATGCTTTTACAGCAATTGTTTAGAACATAGGACTAGTGGTAGAGGTGCTTGCGATATCTGAACAGTGATCTGCTTATATAGATCGTTGCTTTTTATTAAGTACTTTAGCGTATTGTGTAAAGTAATTCAAATATTATTTTCAATATTCAATCGTGTCATAATGAAACTCCGTCTATAAGAGAGAAGTATCCATGAATTCAAATATTTGAAGTATTTTTAATAGTCATCTCCGTCAACTGCATCCAAAAAAAAACACCAAATTCAATTGTGCGTTTAGAAAAAAGTATAGTTTAGTGGATAGTTCAAAAATAAGTTCAGCATTAAAACCGCAAATTCACGGAGATAATCAAGTTCTACTGTGTAAAATGTTAAATGGTTGACAATTGCTATCAAAATCTATGCACAAACGAGTCTGTGGTTGATTGAACTGGCAGTTGCATGCGAGTGTCTGGTTGCGTATTGGATGTGGTATTGCTACCACAAAAATCTGATTCAAACGCAATTCCAAGCGTGGAATGACAATTGGTAACGCCTCATATGGCCCAATCGGTGTTTGCGTGTGTGAATATACACCGGAGTCGCTATGAAACAATTCGAGTACTTTAAACTTCTACAAAATTCTATTGGCAAAGAGTAACTATAACAAACAACAGCAAAAAAATACTACAAAAATAAATTTTTCTGTAATACAGAGTAATATACTTTTTTTCCTAACTAAAAACTTATCAACTTGCCACAATTGCATTTCTGCAGCATAACTAAAAAAGCAATTTGGGTTGGTAATATCAATATATCCGCCAATAATAACAACGACGTCAACCATGGAGCTGTGCGATGTTAACAACTGAAATTGCAACAGTTACATTTGCAACAACAATTGTGGCAACAATTGCAGCTACGAGCAATGTCACTGTGCTCTGCACAGTGCGAGTAGATAAAATTGCAAAATTGCAATTGATACAAAATAAATACTTAAAAATTGCTGGCAAATAAAAAAGGAAAATAATTTCAAAAGTAACAGGAAAAGTAAAACTATCTATAATTTAGTTTTATATAACAACAACAACTATAACGACAACTATAGAAACAACAATAACAACGGTAACTAGACAATAACACATGCACTTATTGCTGAGTCGCATTTGCACTTGAATTGCTGAGATACTTTCACAAGAGATAGTTTCAAGAATGAATCCGCAGTCTGCAGATAGAATTTTCAGTTTATATTTTTACACGAAATTGAGTTTGCAAAATATTTTCTATTTCGATTGTAATTCTGAGATAAAATGACGAT